GGGGGGGGGGCGCGGTAGTCATGAGCGAAAGTACGAGCAGATACCGGGACCATTCGCTGCGGGTGCGGGGACTCCCCTCGGCTGGACTGACGACCCCATACAGAGAGTGATGCAAGAGGCCGAGACGCTTGGGCTGATGACGCGGATGGGGAGCGGCTGGCAGACCGGGGGGTGGCCAACCGGGAGAGCGAGACAGAGGTGGCCACAAGGGACCGAACGTCTTGTGAAACTCCCCCGCCCCTCATTGCCCCACGGCCGGGACACCAGGATCCCTTTTCTATTTCTCATCATCGACCCCTCCCCCCCCTCCCCCCATTCCACCGCTTTCCCAGTCGTCTCCTCAGTCGCTCGTTCCCATACATTCATCGTTTCCTTCCAAGGTATTGCCCATTCATGGCTGGCGCACTGGCCGTCGGGCCGGCCGTCCCACCAGCTCGCCGCCATATCCCCCTGCCCCAAGACCCCTGGTGGGGAGCAAAGAAAAAAAAAAAGACTAACATCCCACTCCCCACAATGAAAAAGGCATCACGCCCTCCCCTCACGTCCCTCGAAAACCAGCAAGTGGCAATCTGCCCAGCCTCGCGCATACCCCCCTCCCACGGTCCTCACTCGGCCCTCCAAGTCGCCGGCCCGACCGCCAATATGACCCCTCCGCCCGAGGGTAATCGCCCCGGCGAGCAGCGGGATGCCCTTCCGCCGGGTGCCGATCCAACGAGCCCTGCTCAGCCCCCAGTGGCCGAGGGCGCCCAGCCGCTTGGTGACGCTCTGCCAGGCATCCTGGACCTGCAGGATGATGGGTCCCTGCCGTCGCTCTCCGGCGGCGGGCCAAACAGCTACAACAACATCAGCGCCAATGACCTGCTCACCGAGGAGGAACTCAATCGTGTGCAGTACAATGGTCTCCAGCGCCATGGGGTGCCATCGCGCACCTCGCCCGTGGCCTTCGATGCTCGCTCGCACCAGGTAGGCCGGTACCAGGGGTACACTGGGGCAACAAACGCCAGCAGCCCCTTCATCCACCCCTCCAACACCCCGTACGGCTACTCGGGCCAACAGCGCCTGCCTTCGGAGGCCGGCATCATCGGCACCGGGGGCAGCATGTACAGCCGCGCGTCGGCCGGGCAGAGCCCAGCCGCGGCCTTCCCCCCCTCGGTGGGTGGCCGGTCGCCCTTCCAGACGCCGGCCTCTCCGCCGGGCATTGCCCCGGCAGCCGTGTCCTATCGTGTGCGTTGCATGGCCCACTTTGGGCCTCCTTGGACCTTTTATTCCCCCCCCCCCCCTCTGCCCTGGTCCGCCCGTAGGTGGGACAGCC